CAAGAAAGGCCTTTCTCGGGACCTCACTTCATTGCTCATAATTGGCAATAGGACGTCTGTGTTGATAAGAAAATATTAGGTTCACATCTTATTATCTGCCAGTAGGCTAATGTGGAAAATACTATATTATGAAAAATGTATTTCACAGTAATCTAGCAGCTGCTGCTCGGATAATAGGCTAATGTAGCGAGTGCACCAAATGTGCACGGGCATGTTTTTGACACTGTTTTCATAAGCGATGATATATCCTAATTGAAACTTACTAAAATTGTTTTCTCCTCCAACTGTCATGAAAACACACCAAACTCTGTGCTTTGTGTACCCATGATTTACAAGTATGAGATGTCTATTCCTTTTGGCTTTCTCGGCTGGTTTAGAGTTAAATTTGGAAAGACGAGATTTTATCCCTCTGAATATTTGTCTAATGAGTTAATTCCCTTCCCGGGTATGTATTAATTCTTTTTTACTGATATAGCCAGCAGTGGGTCCAAACTTGAAGATTTTTATCAAACATTTTTGGACTTTTTTAAATCTAAAATTTGTTCAATTTACAAATCTGTTATAAAAACAGTGTTATAGCCTTTATATTTAACTCATGGAGTGAATCCCTTTAGGAATCTTCCATGAAAGTCTTAAATATGTATTTTTATTAATCTATGTTAATTTGTATATATTGTATTCTTGTATCATGTAGTTCTTTCATTAAACCTTTTTTCTTATGAAACCCAGCACACACTAGAAAGTGTAAAAAAAACAAAAACTTACTACCCATGTAACTGCCACCCAGGTCAAGAAATAAAGCATCAGTAACCCCGAAGCCCTCAGCGTCCCCTTCCCCATCACTCCTTTCTCTTCCCACCACCTCTAGAGTTAACCACAATTTTGACTTTTCCATTGATCACTTGCTTGCTTGCTTTATAGTTTTATCCCCTATTCACGGCTCTGAAATACTATGGTTTAGTTTTGCCTGGTCTTTGGTTGGTTGGTTAGATTTGATTTTGAAGAATACATGTATTAAAGCTGAGGACAGTGAAACAGGGAAGGGCTTAGGATAGAAAAGCAACTGGAGAGAGCATAGGCGGGGCTGCTTTGATTCTCTAGAAATATATAGGAAAGAAATGAGCCTAGATGGAGCTGCTTTGGCTCACGGGAAAGTCAGAGAAAAGGCTCCTTGGAGAGAGTTTCAGGGGCTTAGGCCAAGAGGAGCCGCTGCCGCCCATTGCTCCTCTGGTTGCAAGTCTCCTGGGGACCCTTAGAGTTTAGGAGCTGCACACCTGAGAGGGAAGGAGGGCAAGGGGGTGCCCCCTGGAGGGAGAGGGCACTAGTTTTGTTTTTGTTGTTGAAATTTACATAAATTCAGCTAAGTATCCTTTTAGGTTCAGCATTTTTCTCCCAAAGTCATGTTTGTAAACGTAGTTACATAGTTTTTGCTATATAGTGTATACACACTATATATATAGTATAGTTGCTTTATCGTGTGAACTCACAAGTTATTTATGCATCCCACTGTTTGGGGCCATTATAAATAATGCTGATATGGACATTCCTTCATATGTCGCTCGATAAACGTTGCACATATTTCTGTGGGGGTGTATCTATGGATGCGTGGACTCGCCAGGTCACAAGGCATGTGTATTTTTAACATATTTCAAAGCCATATCACTTTACCACCAGAGGGATCTGGGAGTTCCCACTGCTTTGTGTTCTCACCACAGTTTTTTTAGCCCATCTATTTGTTGTGGAGTGTTACTGCAATGGTTTTAATTTGCATTTCCCTGATTACTAATGAAGTTGAGCATCATTTTCATATATTTATTGGCCGTTCTTTTATGAAACTGCTGGTCCAAGTGTCTGGCTGTTTTTATATTGTGTTGTCTTTTTTAATTGATTTATAGATGTTCTTTACATATTCTGGATTTGAGCTAATTATGGAACTAGAAGTATTACAGATCTCTTCTCCCTCTTGGTTGTTTGCCTTTCTGCCATCCTAAAAGTCTCTCTCGAAGTTCAAAAATTCTTAATTTTAATGTTAATAGATTGACCAAACTTTATGATTAATGCTTTTGTGTCCTCTTTAGGAATTCTTTCCCTACCCTGAAATCATGAATATAGTCCCCTATGTTAATGTATAGATTTATTATTTTACCTTTTTCATTCAGATCCACAATTGAATTTTTGGTATGTTTTGAAGGAAGGGTTAATTTTCATTTACTTCTATGTGGGTAACCAGTTGTCCTACCACTATTTATGAACAAGATTATCCTTTCCCCACTGCATGGTAGCTCCACGTTTGTTGTAAATTAAGTGTGTATATATGCGCAGATTAATTTGTGGGCTTTCTATTCTGTTTTTTGTCATTGTCTTAAATAATACAGCTTTATAATAAATGTTGATACTAGAGCAGCACCTCCTATCTTGTATATTACTTTATTATTTTTATTATAAGAACATTTAACATATCCCTATAACAAATTTTTAAGTGTACGATACAGTATTGTTAACGCTAAGTACCATGTTGTATAGCAGATCTTTAGAACTTACTCATCTTGCATAACTGGAACTTTATACCCATTGAGCACAACTCTTCATTCCTCCCTCCACCTAGCCTCTGCTTCCATGAGTGTGACTATTCTAGAGACCTCATATAAATGTAATCACGTAGTAAATGCTTAGGACTGGCTTATTTCACTTAATATAATGTCCTCCACGTTGTCCATGTTGTCATATATGGTGGTATTTCCTTCTTTTTTAAGGCTGAATAATATTCCATTTTGTGTATATTCCACATCTATTTTTAATTAGCTTGTTGCCTTCCACAAAGAAATCTGTTGAGATTTTGATTGTGATCATATTTAATCTATAGAGCAATTTAGAGAGAATATTATTAAATTGAGCCTTTTAATATATTAGCATAATATATCTACAAAGTACTTCTAAATTTTTCTCAATAATATTGGTATTTTTCTTTATAGAGGCCTTGCATATCATTTATTATATTTACTCCTAGATATTTTATATTTCATGCTCTAATAAATCCTGTTTTCAAATAAATTTTATTTTCAGAGTTGTTGCTGGCATTCAGCAATGTATAGATTTAAATTTTTACCTTTGTATGCAGTTGTTGCTCGTCTGTGGACTTGTTTAGGTTTCATGTGTGCATAATTACATAACCTGTCCACAGGACTGTTTAATCTCCTTTTCTAAACCATTATACCTTTTATTTCATTTTATTGTTGTTAGTGAGGCTAGGCCTCCACTGGCTGGGATCTCCACTACATTTTTACTAGAAGTGGTAATTGTCACATCCCCAGTTTCAAAGGGGAAACATTAAAATTTTTTTCTATTAAGTATGATGTTATAGATTGTTAGATTTGGTTTGCTAATTAGTTTATTTAGGATGTTGAATCTAAGTTCATGAATGAGAAAATCTGCTAACTTTTTTATAATGTCGTTCTCTGATTTTGGCTTGAAGGTTTTACTAGATTCTTAAAGGAAATTAGGGAAAGTTTCTTCTTTCCCTGCTACTGCCTGGAAGAATATGGGTGCGACTAGCATTAATTAGAATTCACTGGTGAAGCCATCTAGCAAAAGTTTTTAGTTTTGTTTTTTGTATTTTTTTGGAAAAGTTTTTAATTGCAAATTCAACTTCTTCAATAAGACTATTTAGATACTATGTTTCTTTTTGTGTCTGTTTTAGTTATAGTTTTCTATGACTATGTCTATTTCATCAAAATTTCCAATTTATTGGAAGAGAGCTATTCATACTATCCTTTTACCTTTTTTTGGTCTATAGGATATGTAGTAGTGTCTCCTTTTTTATTACTGATATTTAGTATTTGTGCCTTCTCTTTTTTTTTCTTAATTGGACTCTCCACTGTTTATCTATTTTTATTAGTGTTTTCAAGTAACTTATTTTCATTATAATTTAGTTACCTATGGGTTATTTAGAAGTGTATCCTTAATTTCCAATAGTATACAGGTTTTTTTTCTTTATTAGAAGATAGCTTAGATTTCTAGTTGATTAAAAAACATTCTGAATGATTTCCATTATTTGAAATTCATTGCTATTTGCTTTATTTTTGTAAATATTTTATAAATATTCCACTGTGGACTTGAGAAAATGTATAGTCTGTAAAGTATGATGTTCTATATATTACCATCAGATCAATTTCCTTATTGTGATAGTAAAATCTTCTTCTTTCTTTTACTGTATTTATTTCCTTGCATGTTTGGGTCAGTTATTGAAACAAGTGTACCAAAGCCTCTACTGGTTGTGAATTTATTTGTTTCTCTCTCTAGTTCTGGCACTTTCTGCTTTATGTATTCTGAACCTATGTTATTAATGCATGCAAATTTGGAATTATTTTATCTTCCTGGTAAATTGAAAGCTTTATCATTATTGAGTATATCTCTTCATCCTTAAGTGATGGCTATTGCCTTAAAGCTAACCTTGACTGATACTAATGTAGCTATGCCAGTTTTCCTTTCACAGTTAATATTTTTCCATTCTTTTTCAGTTTTCTGTATTTCTATGTTTTATATATTGATTTATAAATGGAAGCTTGTTTTGTTTTATTTATTTAATGAAAGTGTGCCAATCTTTGCCTTTAAAGACAATGTTAAAACATTTACATTTAATGTAATTGAGTCTAAATCTGTGTCAGTCTCTTAAGGTCAGTAAGTCTTGAAACAACAATTTTTTTAGATTCAGAAAACGGACGGTTTATTAACATCTGTGAGTTTGAGAAATTTAGCTTCTCTGATTTGTAAATATGCATGGGTTTATAAAACCCCATCTCCTATTATTTGACTGCTATATAATGAAAAGATATCCAGGGACTAAAATATGCTCAGAGCAACATTTCTAATTTTAGTGTTTGGGGAATTTTGCCTGCAACTCTCATCTTTATTGTGATTTACCTGCCTAATTCCAATAAACACGTTCATTAACAATGTATCTTTCTTTATAAGTACTATAAAGATTTCACTTTTGATCACAGGGCTGTGACTCCCAGATGAGCATGTCAGAAGTGTCCTGTAGCAGAAGTACATCCTCATGTCAGTCTCTAGAACATGGCTCAGTTCCAGAAATTCTCATTGGCCTGCTTTACAACGCCACCACTGGAAGACTCTCCGCGGAAGTCATAAAAGGCAGCCACTTCAAAAACTTGGCAGCAAACAGACCACCCAGTGAGTGAAAAATGTTTGGTTTTTTTAAAATTCTGTTTTCTGCACTTATGGGGATCTCAGTGTTAGGGGCTTCCATCCTATTATTTAGTCTTAACCGGTGAAAATGAAATGGTGTGATAATAATCATCAGCCAATCTGTTCCATGTTTTCTATTTCCAGTCATTTGGGAAGTAGAAAAATTTGAAATTCAAAATATTCATTGTAAGGTGTCAAGACTTAATTTTTCTAATGTCAGTGGAATAAATTCTCCCGATCAAAGCCATTACCTTCTAATGCCAGGAGAAGTTACAGGGTCTTTTAAAGCTAACAGTTTTCCACCAGTATTATCAAGAATATATATAGTCATTGCTGTTAACTGAAGATTGATGTTGTGTTTGCTGTCTGCATGCAGAACTCTACACTTTTCCCCCTTAACAGTTTAAGAAGAAACTGCTTTTTCACATTTCCCTCCTTTAAAATTATAAATCAGTACTGTCACCAGAGTCTTTTCTTAAATGGAATATGCTTTGGCTTTACCAGGAATAAGGAATACTTTGATATTTACCCTAAATGCTAGGAAGGGAAAGCTAGATAGGATGCCTCTGCCCTGTCTCTATGCCTCTCACTCTTCCATCTCCTTATCTCTCTCCCAGCTAAGGTAAGTTATGGGAGAGCAGAGAAATTGTCACCCAATATATGCCCATATCTGTGGAAACAAACTGGGAAAGTAGCAGCTTCTTTATACTTCTCTAAATTAAAGCTGTTAATGCCCTAAACTATAAATTTGAAAGGAAATTTTGAATAATAATGACCACCTTAAATTTGTTTAAAGACGTCTCTCAGACTTACTTAAAGCAATCTTTTAAGTATCAAATAATTCTTGAAGAAGAGGAAACTTTTTTCACCCTTGAATTAAATTAACATTTTTCCAATCAAACTGAAAAGTCATAATACATATTTGGTTTACCCTAAGTGGTATTGGAAACCTTGCGTCTTACATACATCATGAAATGTATCTATCCCTGAATTAACAGTCAGAAGGCCAAAATGATGTTTATATTTCTACCCTTGGACAAGTGACCTAACTCCCCTAAGTCTAAATTTTTAATACATAAAATTAAAGGTGGTGTCTCTCACAGGGCAACAGTGAGACTCAAGTCAGACAAAGGTGCATAAAGAAGAATGGAATTATTATTGTCCCCTTTCTCATTTCAGAATGAAAAATTCAGAGGGAGGAAAGAAACAGTAACTAGAATAAGCAGCTGCTTGGTTATCTTCATTAATACACACTTAGAATGCAAACCCTAATGACCCGGGAAGTAGCTTAACGAGCAGAAGTTGTAGCTGAAAGACAGGAGCGCGGTGAGGCCCGCGACCGGTGGCAGCGTCCACCCTGCACCGAGGCTTTCAGATCCAACACTTTTGTCAACACCGCAACCTAAGACGCTCTGGGGGCCGCCTTTAGCCGCAGGCCGTCCGTTTGCCACTCCGTTCTTGCTTTAGCTAATGGTTGAATTTTTTAGCAAACGTTTAACTTGGATGCTAAAAAGAAGCAGAAGGAAGTGATGTGTTTGCCTTTGTCTCCGTGTGCCGCCCACGTTGATAGAAACAGAGAATCGCTAATCAGAACTAAAATGAAGGGAGCAGGGTAGAGGCGGCCGCTGTTCCTAAACAGGTTAAGTAAGAGATCAGCATCCACGATACAAAGTAGACCTTTTTGGTTTTAAAGAGTAAGTTAAAGCAGTTTCCATTATTTTAGAGTTAGATCTTCAGTATCAGGATGTTTAGCTGAACTGAATATGTCAACATTAAAATTAGTAAGATGGAGTAAAATATAAGACAATAATGTAAAATATAAGACAGTTTTGTCAGTTCATCTTATACTGTATATGTTATATAAGATTGTGACCCTTCATACATATCTAGGTATAAGCTTTGAACTGTGTTACAGACGGAATAATCCAGTTTTTAACCAAAGAAACGATAGCAGTATTCAAGGGCAAAATTTTTAGTAGTTCTATTTTATTCTTCATAATTTAATTTTATATTATATTGAGAGTAATAAAAGTATTTGAAACGTTAAATATTGCATGGATAAACTTAAAAATGTAGGGTAATAATAATGATCCTGTAATGACTTTTATTCAGTCTTTTGTATAGTCTGATAATTTGCATGATTCTATATGTTCAATGTGCTTTAGACCAAGAGGATATCCTTACAAAGATGTCCCCCTTTAAATCAGTGTAATTTTTGTTTAAGATTACACCGTGACCTTAAAAATTCTCATTTCACGAATTTTACCCAACAACCCTTTTGTTCAACCCTCTGCCTGAATTAAAATGCTAAAGGATTGTGTTCTTCCACTCGAGTGAACAGTGTTTCCTCTTTAATTCTAACCTTTGACCCTCTTTCACCCAACAATTGACATCTGGTCATTATTTCTTTTACTGCTTTCCACCCCCTGTTGTCAGATGGACTGTTCTGTTGTCTAAAACACTTGATAGGTGGACAGGTTTATATAATCCGAGGTGAGTTCCTGTAGAGGCTAATTGGATGTTGTCTTTTCATGCAAAAACAAAATACCCTACAACTTGCCAGCAGTGAAGCTGTCCACCATGTTGGTTTCAAAAAATGCACATTTATTATCTGTGGTACTTCAAATAAAACTAACTTAGAATTGATCTCTGATTATGGATGATGGTATTCAGAGTATAAAATAAGCAAAACTTTTTAAATTAAAGGTTTTATTTTTCCACTCCTTGTATTTTTGATTCATACGACAGAAATAGTTACTTCATCAGAAATACCGCAATTTTCATTAAAATTAATTGAAGTTTCGATATGAAGTACACATGATGGATCAACATGCTGAAGGTCATTTGCATGAGTCAAAAGAACTTGAAAACACAGTTGTTGGAAGAGAGGGGTTGATCTCCCAAATAATCAGGCAATGAACTGTTAACGTGTCACTTTGTACACTGAACATCACATCAGTTTATTTTCTAATTCATGGACATGGTTCGCACACCATACCTACAACCTGACATGGAATTGTGTCAGAAAGGAGTCCTGGAGTATCTATTTTGACTGCCCAGAAAGCACATTACATGTCCCCTTGCATGAAACCAGGAGAAAGTCGTACTTGATTTGCTGAACTTTGAGCCCTCAATGCATTTGGCTTCATTTTGGCCCTTCGATGGTTTTAAAATGCAATCAGAAACCACATCCATGCAGAGATTGTTTTGACATTTCACCCTCAGCTGTTTCGATGTCCTACCTTTGCATTCTTGTCTTCCCCTTTCCCTCCCCGTCATCGGCCTTCATTTCTCTTTGTTTGTTTACTCCTCTGAAAACACAGTGGAATGCTTTAGTGTCGTGGCTAACTGAGCTTGCTAAGTGTCTCTTAATGCTATCACGTCCTGCTTAGTGAAGCTAAACGGGGGGTGGGCAGGGCGGGCTCGGGAGGCCGCGGGAGGTCAGGGAATGGGTGGAGGGCGGAGGAAGGATTATGAGGTATACCTTTAAATTCCAACTATAATGTAGAAATAGTGAGGCTAAGACGTTAGTACCCCCAAACGATTTTCTGCTTCCCTAGCATTCTCTGTACCTGTCTCGTTTTATAAGCATCTACATCAAAATGGAATTAGTCGAATTTCCATTAAAACATGGTATACACCATATCCTTATAAAGTACAAATAAATCTCAGCAAATGTTACAGGAAAGATGTTTTGGGTGTGTTTCAAATGATATTTGTGGTATGTTGTTGTTGTTTTTCTGTAGATACATATGTTAAATTAACTCTACTGAATTCCATGGGTCAAGAAATGTCTAAATGCAAGACATCCATCCGCAGAGGGCAGCCAAATCCCGTGTACAAGGAAACGTTTGTTTTCCAAGTGGCCCTGTTTCAGCTCTCTGACGTGACCCTTATCCTGTCCGTGTTCAACAAGCGCAGCATGAAGAGAAAAGAGATGATAGGCTGGATTTCTTTAGGTCTGAACAGCTCTGGCGAAGAGGAGCTCAGTCACTGGGCTGAAATGAAGGAGTCGAAAGGACAGCAGGTCTGTAGGTGGCACGCGTTGCTGGAGTCCTGACGGCTAGGACGAGCCTTTGCAAGCCCAGGCAGCGCTGTTGCCAGCGACGGCACTGCTCTTTCACCATTAGGAGGGTTGTCCTTTGAAGAATCATCTTCAACATTCTACCAAAACGTTCTGTGGAAAGGACATCTAATACAGACATAAGTGAAGACAGGCTGTGTCTCCGGTAGGGCTTGTTTGGGACAATGAAAAACTTCCATCATCCTTGTTAAACTAGCAGTCCTCAGAGCTTCAGGAACATGCTATTGGGTTGAAGTTCATTTTACTTCAGCAAAAGAGCCAGTCACTTCCTGAAAAACATCAAAATCGTAAATGATTTTTTTAAATTAGAATTTTCCGTTGCCACACTATTTTAGTATCACCCTACATATTATCCACAAGGCGTTTTTGACTGGCTCGTCCCTGGTGTTTGAAAGGTACCTTAATATGAGAAAGCAGTTCTCCAGCTCCATTGTAAGTCACCTCTGGTGCTGAAAGGTTCCAGTCACATTGAAAATTGTTTTATTTCAGATATTTTCCCTTTGCAGACTCAGTTCCATTGTGCCTCCGTTCTTCTCAGTGGCACTAGATCTAAGTGCAAGCAAGATTTCACTGTCGTAAGGGCATTTTGCGTGTTATTTTTAAAACTCATTTCTTCGTTCGCCTCTGCTTTTGCCCGATCCAAAGAGACCAAGTCACTGCACTGGTCCCTTGCGAGTCCCTTAGACAGGTTGTTCTGCAGAACCACGTAACTTTCTGTTGAAAGCACTTTCTGTATCCTTGTATTCCAGTGTAGGAACCTAACAGAACAGGACCTTACCTTAACATTTCCTTCAACGATTGACTCTTTCAAAGTGTCATAACGTGCAAATACATTTTTTACAAACTAAAAAACGTAGTAGGTAAGCCGTTGTAAATTGAAAACAACTTAAGTTCAAGAAAATTGTAACGATCCGCTCTGAGTGTTTCGTAACCAGCGGTGCATAAAGCAGGTAGCACTCACATAAGAGCCCGTTCTCTCTTCTGAATCTTCTTTGCTCTCACTTCAGTTCGTATTTGTGATATAAAGACTCTCCAGTTCTCAGTTTGAATCAGAACATCATGCTCAAAATAGTTCTGAGATTCCTTATGAAGCTGACTCATGGCTAAATTTTATGAAATTTACAGATACGTTCTTCAACGTGGTGTCATCCTGTGCCTTTCCTGTACGTTAAATTTGCTCATACAGCTCGTAAGTTGTATTTGCAAAGCTAGGCCTTCGATTTTTATAAATGGGAGATCCCTCAGAACAGTGTCACAAGCTCTTTCTTTCCTCGGAAGTGTGTGAAAGTTGTAAAATGTGCTGTTTTTTAACTCGCGAGGCATTTTCATTTCTTGTTTTTATATTTAGGAACTCTGATTAATCAGGAATATTGCAGGCTGTTTTCTTTTAAATTTTGCTTCTTACCCAGTATATAATTTTATGCATATACTTTATTAAATAGAATGTTTTGTATATATGAAAAGTATTTTTCTCTTTCTAATTTCTAGTTAAACTAGACAAAAGCAAACTATTTGCCAGTTACTAAAAAGCAGTATATCATTGTTCCTAGTCCCAACTAAGTACTATATATATTAGTGTAAGCTAGGACTTGTTATTATAATAACAACAAAACCGTGCATAGATATTATTGTTTCAGCGTGGCTGTACTGAAAGGCCTTAAAAGAAATCCAAAAAACAATCAACTCCTAATATTTTTTAGTTTAAAAATGGCAGCTCTATGCATTCATGCACATGAATTGTAAGATAAAATACAAATGCTATATTGGGTGGCATGAGGTTTAAGAATGTATGTTACAGAGTTGAATTAAAGGGAAAAATTCATTCTTTTATTGTTACATTCATCAGCTTTTTCCAGGGATTTTTTGTGAATGAGTTAGGTTATAAAGTTAGAACATGAATCAGATGGCATGATATCTCATGTAAGCATTTTCAGCAACAGTACAGAAAGGGACTTGCGGGTGGTGTAAATTTTACTGAGAAATTGGATTGAGGCATTGGATGCTCCAGGTAGCTGTTTGGCTTTGAGACAACTGCCCGCATTGCTGACAGCTGGGATCGTCTTAATAAAGATTATCAGTCCCATTTGTAGCTGTAACAGCGCCTAATCACACGCATCACAAAACCAGCTCGGTGCTTTTCCTTCGCTGAGGAAGGACCTCTCTAGCTGTCCCTTGTTAAATCTGGCTGCTTCAGACCACGCCCAGCGTCGTGTGTGTGCTCTGATGTATCCGTAAGATTTGCCTGGCATCGCTGTCAAATCCAGTACGGCCTAAAAGGTAATTAACTATTTTAAAAACGTCCGAGAAGGACTCTGTTTCCATGCCAGCTACTGAGTCCTCAGAGATCATGAATCATGTTTGTGCGTGTCTGTGTACACACGCACACGCCTGCACGCATACACACTGTGTGCACACATGCACACATACATACACACACATGCATGTATGTAAAGGTGAAGGTGCCCTGACTTTTTCAGAAAACGAAATAGAAAACATTAATCAAATTGATAGATTTTTTTCTCTCCTCTATGTATTTACCAGAAATTATATTTGGTTCGGGGTGCTATTTGCTGCCATTCTCCTCTGCACACAGCAAAATATATATCTTTTTGTCCCGTGCATTGACACAAGGTAGAGTAATTACTCCCCAAAGTTGGCCTGTTCTTTCAGAAAAGAATGAAATAAGGCTCCGGGGACCCACTCCACGCTGCTGAGCCCGATGTCGGAGGCAGCGCCGCTGCTCTCGTGTGCTTGGATTTGCATGAAGGCTGAAAGGCAGAATCTACGTCCCAGCAGTTGCAGCAGATAGGGGCCCGCTGTGGGCAGCAGGTGTTGTCTCAGACACTCGAGGAAGGCAACCCACTTTCTTACTGTTCTCTCAAAATCCCCTAAGTTTTATAATAAAACGAGATAGTCCAAATATGGCAGTTGACTGGCATTCATGTAATTCCTAAGCCTGGAATTATAGACTTTATTTGTCTCCCAAATGAGCTGCAAAACATAGTAGTTTATTACTGCTCAGGAAACAACGTGTATTTCACATCAGTGAAGAACTTTAATATATTGTCCCTGTACCTTTCAGAAGCCGCCTCTATAGTCTTGTGTCTTCTGCACTGTTCACATTTTGTGTGAAATCCATCTGCTTATTTTCTTACTATGCATCCAGTGAATTCTCAATAATGTTGTATTTAGTGACAAAAATAATAAATTGGACCACAATTTTAAAAAAGAGAAACCAATGAGAAAATATCTAAACCACCCTGATTCATATACATGTGTCGAAGTGTAGGGCCTGGGAAGGCGGTTTCAGCCAGCCTAGTGCAGGTGCCCAGGGCTCTGTGTTAAATTACGTTCTCGATACCATCATTTTCATTTCACTTGTCAATCGAATCAAAAGCGTAATCAATAATTGCGAAGTAAGATGGCACCAGTAGGGGAAGAGGTCAGAGAGCTGTGGCGTTCTTCAAGATGAAGCTGGAAAGCAAATGATACCATCATTTTTCAAGTGAACTGAGAGAGGGGCTATTTGAAGGTGTAAATTTTAGATGAATTAAGAACACTAGTCACCAACAAATTTTGTTGAAGGTCTTTATCCAGATATGAAGAAATGACATAAATCCACTTGCTTAAAATTGCCACTTTCCTACTACAGACACTAGATAGTCAATTCATAGAGATTTTTCCTCATTGATAGTTCTATTATTTCCCCAAGATAATTATTATTCAAAACGTTTTATTTTTATTTTTCCCCATTCACTGTCCCCAGTTCGTCCATGGCCTGCCCTGGAGGTAGCCATCAGTATCACCGTCGCCAACCAAACACAGTGTGAACACAATGTTGAACATGCTGAGAAGCATTCTTCTAAAATTATCTTTAAAACATCACCTGTGTCCACCAAGATGCATAGTGATGATAGTAACTGCTATAATTTACTAAGATCTAGCACAGTAATTTATTATTTTGCTTGGTTCTCATAGTACTCTAAGGTAAGTAATATTATTAGCAGTTTATAGATGAAGAGACCCCAGCATAGGGGTTAAGCAGCCTTGGCCCGGGTCAGCCAGTGGGCAGTAGAACTGGAGTTAGAACCCAGGCGTGAATTGCTCTAAAGCCCACACCGTGCATCTTGCGGCTGCATCCCTCTTAGGAGCTGCAAGAAAAACAGGACAGGAGCCCGCCCACCTCAGCTGACCGGCAGAACTAGGAAAAAGGCAAGAAACAGAGCTTGGCAGAGAGAAATGCAAGACAAAGAAAGAAAGATGATCGGAGATTGCTTTTCTGCTCAGGACACAAATGGTACTTCTGTGACATGTTCGTAAATGATTTTGATTTTCAAAGACTTGGGGATTTAATTTACTTTGCCGATTTAGCCTATACTTATATTCTGAAAGAGTATTAATCAATTTATTCTACTTGTTGCTCACTTTTGGGAATCCCAAGGTATTTTAATTATGTACGAGCACCTTCCCACCCTGTGAAGTGTGGACGGCCTGTGCCCATTAGTCCGTATCAGTGGTGAGAGGAAAGACTCTTGTGCTCTCATTGCAATTTCCTTACGTTTCTTCTGTAGCCTTTATTATGGTTTAACTGGATTATGGCTAATTTCATTGCACATGCCTCTCTTTCCCCCTTGATAGTAGTTAATGGGTAACATGCATAATCCATGAATAACACAAGATCATGAAAAAATGAGACTTATGTAACAGTATTGATTTCTCCCATAGGGAATTTAGTCCCTCTCAATATTTACTCTGTGCCTAGTATGAGTAAGGGGCACTTATTGTCTTTAAAATGAATGCCTGATAGATGAAATATAATACCCCAGTATACACTGAAAAAGTTTTCTGAAATTTGTTTATATATTCAAATATTGCTAAAATGCGTATTTCCATAAATCCAGACAGTTAATATTAAATATGACTGTTTTGTTTAATGAGAAAATGGGAGTTTTCCCTTGTCTCTGAGACACTCCTTTTTCCGTGCCCATCTGGTGGAAGGGGGATGGCGGGCACCTCTTACCAGCCCCGTTTGCCAGTTTCTGAGTGTACGTACCTCCTCCATGTTGTATTTTCAGTAACAACCAAACTTTTTATGCCCTCAGGGTAGTTCTCACCAATGATTCCTGTTCAAAACCCCCATTAATGCTGATGAAAGAAATGCATACGCACCAAGAGGAGGAAAGATCCCTAAATTGTAAAGAATCAGCATCTTAGGGCCCTGGTATGGGGTGGCGCTTTAGTACCTAAGTGTGACTTCAGTTACAGTGGAGTAGGAGCTAACTCCTTGGAAATGAGAGTTTAGGTCCTTATGTCTGAAATTTTCTCCTTTTTGTCTTCTCTCGTCCTTCTGTAGCTTGCACATTTTTAAAATTTTTATGAGAAAGCCTTAAAAACTGGTTTAAAGTTTTTCAAATGTTCATAACCAGGCAATTTCATGAAGAGGAAACTGAAGTCAATACCATAGAATCATAGGAAGCCTTTTGGGGGGAGGGGGAGTGGAGAGGGCGTGATGCTTGTTTTTGTTTGGGCCAGGTTTTTGGATAAATATTAGGAATATTTACAACATTCTATAATTATGTCACCTGTGTTTTGTGAGGGGAGACCAGGGTAGCTTTTGCATATAAATTGGCTCTCTTAGTATTTAAGTATGTTTTAACAATTCTTTGAAGCACAGCTAGAAAATAATGGTGATATTTCAAACAGTATTTTGAAATTACAAATATTACTTTAAGAAATTTTCCAGTTATAGCTTGCTCTGCAAAATTTATTTTTCTGCATAACTTTATTGGGATGACTTGTTTCTATAGCAAAAATAATAGAGTGGCATCACTTTTGAGGAATCTTTGAAGCTGTCATAGAGTGGTAGACAAACTGGGTTTTCACTAGAATTTTGAAATAAAGTATATCAATATTCTCAGTTCAGTTTTTCTTGCTGAAGCACAGTTATTCTATGAGTTTTAAGGGTCTTGATAAATGCTGGGATCTGTTCTTTTTCTAAAACTCATGATGTCCACTACTGCTCAGTACTCTTGCATTGTGTTTTATTTCTCAAAATAATGTAATATGGAAAATCAATTAGTGGAGTCTTTTAGTTAATATCCCTTTGCTTCCTCCCTCCTTCCCTCCCTCCCTCCCTGCTTCCCTCTCTCCCTCCCTGTCTTCCTTCCATTCATTTTCTTGAGGCAAGAAACTTCCTTAGTCTAGTTTCTACAGAGCTTTCTTATTTTTCTAATAATGGATATAACATTGTGATGAAGTTTAAATGCTCTGTGAGCAAAACTCTGTTAACCAACCTGAAGAAATGCACTATATTGTCCACCATTCCCTTGGTCTGAAACTGTCTCCAGCATAGTTTCCAGCGACTCTCCTGCATTAATGGACCTTACTAGCATATACGAGTATCTGTATGGTTATCAGTAGTGTTGTTTTATTGTCACATTAATATGCATTTTTGGTC